CCCCTGAGGACAGCCAGGCTAAACATACTAAACCAGACCTAATTTATTCTCACTATAAATGAAAGACAATGGGCTCTCAAGGTTTAACAATGGGGAAATATCTTAGGATGCGTTCACTCTACCACTATCAAGGATGAAATTGAGTCTATTAAAAAAAAAGAAATAAAAAAAAAGATTTCAAGGCAAGTCACACATGTCCCCTCAAGACCAAAGCAAAAGGTTTTTTTTGGTTTTTTTGTGAATACTATACCTGGATCCATAAAGATTTTCCTTTCAAGCCCCTTCATTTTCCAAACTAATGTGCTGATGAGTCTTAAATCAAACCTTGATGTTGTCCTGGGAGAGCATGTAAGCTTGCACACCTTGATACATAAAAGCTCTTTGATTTTAGCTTAAAAGAACATCGAATGCATCTATCATTTATGCCTACTTAGCCAACAATGTAAAAATTAGAGGATTGGAACAGATTTGGACTGCTCAATCATTTGCTTTTGATTAAATAACAGCATTTTCAACAAAGTTGTTGTCATTACTCTGGGATGAACCAAAAGACCTTGATTAGTTGCTTCAGGTATGTTTGATTGGTGTTAAAGCTCCGCAGGAAGGTAGATTCCAAGATGTAGCGCCCTTGATTTAGATTGTTCCAGGCCAACAGGTGAATTTCCTTCCGTGTGTGTGCTATCAGCCATCTCTTATGAGAGAGTGCTTTGGCTACAAGACTCGACACTGCCCCCTACCGTTTTTGACCAGCGCTGCAATCTATGTTCTGCACACCTGCTCTCCGGTTCGCGAAGACAACTTGAACATCATATGTACACCAAAATGCAATCGTTTCAGCTCAAACGACAGTGAAAAGTAAAGCGGATTTCAAATTAAGTCCAATTTTAAAACGACTAGGTTTTATCATTGGGAGTGATAAAAACGAAAAATGAAAAATTGAGCCACTTAGTGTAACAAAGCCGAAGCACAGATTTGAGCTCATTATAAAAATGCGCGAGGCTGAGAATGGAGAGTTAAAACTGCCAAGAAATGCAGATATGACCCCCAAAATAAGTTCAGCTCCCACCTACATGTCCTAAAATATCAGTAAACTGTCATTAGATGTGACACTGTTTCTGTACTAGGCTACATATTCACATTGCTGGCCATAGCACGTATAGTAGCCTATTGTAGACTATCTCTGTTTTCATTGCATTGGCGCCTTTGTTTTGTTTTTGTAAAGCGAGCTAAGTTATAGAAAGGCGCAATATAAAAGAAACGTTATTGTTCCTTTTTTTTTTTTTTGCTGTATGTGCCTATGAAAAATATAAGCTGTAGCCTATTAAAAATGTCTTCTTTACATTTCTGAATAACATTGCCCATCATTCACATATCTGACAGCTGACTGGCAGTGACTCACGACTGTTTTAAAAAGAAATAAGTAAAAAGCTAAATACTGGTTACGGTATTCAAATAACAAATAAAATACGAATAGCCTTTCTGTTAAGACTTATAAAGTTGCGCAAAACGCAACGATATGTACACTCTTAAAAATAAAGGTGCTTCAAAAGGTTCTTCAAGCGATGCCATAGAAGAACCATGTTTGGTTCCACAAAGAACCATTCAGGCAAAGGTTCTTTAAAGAACCATCTCTTTCTTAGCTTTTTATAATCTGAAGAACCTTCTTTCGCCACAAAGAACCATTTGTGAAACAGAAAGGTTCTTCAGATGTTAAAGGTTCTTTATGGAACCATTTAGACCAAAAGGTTCTTCTATGGCATCGTGAAGCACCTTTATTTTTAAGAGTGTAGGTGTAGCTGAGAGAAAACATTTCCCTCCACCTCCTCTGAGAATCTTACTCGCAAATCCTGTGCGAAAGCAGATTAAAAGTAGATTATAAAAAGTAAAAACATGTCCCTCAAATGCCAAACGATGATAAAGGAGAGTGAAATGCATGTGTTTTACTGGGAGCTTATGCACTTCGATTCCAAAGCTAAATTCCTCGGATCCTGAACAGAACGTGAGCAGCGAGTAAATCCCGTGTCAGGATATATAAAGGTATACTGTACTGAATACCGTGTTCATATGTAACATTCACATTACAAACAGTTACAGGACTGTTTAAAAGACATAACATTCCCAATAAGGGTTTTGTTATCGCCATAAAGAGAGAAAATGTGCCTATAAACCAGGTCTATTTATTAGATAACCAGGAGTCTTTAATCATTATAAAATTAGGCTACTAAGATTGCTACTCGTTCATATTACATATGTTTATATTCTTCCCAGATTTTAAAAATAAATAAATAAATCACAGAGATTCGCTGAAATGCTGATAGTCAGTATAATCTGGCCGCACAACTCTGGACCACAGAAGTTCAGAAAGTAACATAATGTTCAAAAGCACATGGGTTTACAGTGATACCAAATACATGGTATTATCTTGGGGCATCTTTTATACTGTAAGTGAAGAAATTGGACTTAGTTAGAAGCAGTGTCAGAAATTAACCAGTACTTGATGTCACTAAAAATGATATATGAAAATATATGGTTATCATGTGGTTATATGGTGAGGGGGGAAACAACATTCACATTAAGGTAAAAATCATTTTTAGATGGCAAATATTTTCCTTTAAAATTGTATCAATTAAAAAATTTCTTTATATTTAGAAACTGCTAAGCAGAAATCTCCATTAAGAAGAAGAAGAAGAAGAAGAAGAAGAAAAGTCCATTCCAGACAGATTGCAGATATAGACTATCAAGATTATAGAGAGTTACAGTATACGAATGAAATAAGTAATTGCTAATTATTTTAATAATGTGACTACTCAATGTTTATTTCCCCTAAATATGTCTAAAGAAGCTGAAAAAGCATTTTTTGGCCTATTTAGTATAGTACGCATATATTTTTTAAAAGATTTCTAGATTTAGCTCAATAATAAAAAATTGATAGGCCTATAAACATTCATAAACATTTAAATTGTCCAACAATATTAACTTTAAATGCATGGTTTATAAATAAACTTTCAAAAAAAAAAACTTAAACCGTGACACTGCATACTGTGGAATTACATTAGAAAAACTGCAAGTTGCAATATGCATTAAGCAGCTGGGGGAAGGGACTTTATTAAGAATTAATTATCAATTAAGACAGTTGTGTGGTACCACTGTCACATCCGAATGTTCAAAAGTACATGGGTTTACAGTGATACCAAATACATGGTATTATCTTGGGGCATCTTTTATACTGTAAGTGAAGAAATTGGACTTAGTTAGAAGCAGTGTCAGAAATTAACCAGTACTTGGTGCAAAAATGTCACTAAAAATGATATATGAAAATATATGGTTATCATGTGGTTATATGGTGAGGGGGAAAACAACATCCACATTAAGGTAAAAATCATTTTTAGATGGCAAATATTTTCCTTTAAAATTGTATCAATTAAAAAATGTATTTATATTTAGAAACTGCTAAGCAGAAATCTCCATTAAGAAGAAGAAGAAGAAGAAGAAAAGTCCATTCCAGACAGATTGCAGATATAGACTATCAAGATTATAGAGAGTTACAGTATAAGAATGAAATAAGTAATTGCTAATTATTTTAATAATGTGACTACTCAATGTTTATTTCCCCTAAATATGTCTAAAGAAGCTGAAAAAGCATTTTTTTGGCCTATTAGTATAGTACGCATACATTTGTTTTTAAAGATTTCTAGATTTAGCTCAATAATAAAAAATTGATAGGCCTATAAACATTCATAAACATTTAAATTGTCCAACAATATTAACTTTAAATGCATGGTTTATAAATAAACTTTCAAAAAAAAAAAAAACTTAAACCGTGACACTGCATACTGTGGAATTACATTAGAAAAACTGCAAGTTGCAATATGCATTAAGCAGCTGGGGGAAGGGACTTTATTAAAAATTAATTATCAATTAAGACAGTTGTGTGGTACCACTGTCACATCCAGGTGGTGGCACTACAGTGTGTCTGATGCATAAGCACGAACATTGCAAATATGATATGATAATTGTTACTATAGGCCTATAATTAAGTGCTTTCCTTATATAATGAGGCATGAAAACATAAGAAAATACTTATTAATAGGGTAATGAAATAGCTACAACTACCTTGGAACAATTAGAAAAATAGTCAAGTATTGTTAAATAAAAATGTATAATATGGATACTTCTGCCTGCCAGTTAATTAGGCTGCTGATAAACTGCTTTAGTTGGCAACACGGACTGCAGTTAGGCAAATGACATTACTTGGCAAAAGAATGGTTTATTCTGATTGTTAGAGAGAGCTGTTCATCAATCTGTAGGCCAAAACGGAAGATTTTTTTGCCAGTGATCAAAGAACATTTACAGTTTTTACTTCACCATTTAACATTTACAACATTTATCAAATCTGCTGTGATTTCAGCAAGGTCACACAGGTTATAGTGAGTTTTAGTGCATAGTGCTTTTTATGTAATTGTATAATTTTATGCAATTTATATATAATTGTAAATAATTGTGCTTATATTTTCTTTCACATGCATATGTCAGCTTCATGTAAATAAATTATCAGATAGTTTTTTTTATATAATTTTAGGTATGGCCATTTGCTTGCAAAGCCAGAAATGTTTGAATTATATTTTGTACATTAAACATACATTACAATACATTCACATTTTCAGTCTGGCTGTATTTCATTCAATTTAATAGACTGTGCTGAAAATGATTTTGAAATTATCCTGTAACTCAATTCATTCATTCACTGAACACCTCCGATTAATCCAAAATAGGCTAATTGCTTTTAGTTTTGAAGCCTGTGTTCAAAAACCAGTCAGTCATTAGACTAGACTGTTATTTCGCCGTTTCTGAATGGCTGATAAATAATTCACATGAGTTAAAGTCACACACATTTTAATGAACACATCACAAGAACAAGTTTACGGCCGCCTCAATAAACTACAATTCCGAAGAAACTACATTTCCTAAGAAGCACTGCGTTCATCGGGGATTTGAAGGAATGTGGATTGCGCTTGCGTAGCCAGACGTGGCAGCGGCATCATGGCTTCTTGGAACCGATACGGGAGACGTTGGAGACTGATCGAAATGTTCTTATTCCTGTCTTTGGTGAGTCGTTAAAAGGAATCTGATGTATCCGTATAATCAATAATGTTAAATGCGCATATCGGACAGATGTTTTCTGTCTGATGTAAGACGAAAACGAAAGAAAAAGGGAATGATCTTCTGTCCCTCTTGCAGCAGTAGCTCAAAGTTGACAGCAGAAGAGAGAGGCATATTCAGATCAATCCGTCTCATTCATTAGTTCTCGTGTCTTGTTTATCCCCATGCAACTGTCTAATGTCAAAAAGATTCACTAATGTCGGTGAAAGGAGATGTATCTGCTATGATTATGAAATGTGCTTTGATATGAATGTGTCATGTTAGAGGTGTTCTTGAATTACTGTAGAGGTTTTATTTGGGCCAGTGATGTAATGTGATGCTCATTCATTTTGTCCAGATCTATTATGTTATTCAAAAATACTTGAGAAGTGCATTAAATTTGTGCACATCATGCACCTGTTCTATGATGAACGAGTATTCAGTGTCTTAATTAAAAGTCGTTTTGATTGTCATTTTTAGGTGATGTGTAACTTTCTGAAAATTGTTTAAAAGGTTTAAAAAATAATAATAAAATAAAGAGAGAAAAAAAGACCTGGGATAAACTGTTCATCATAAGTTTTTATTTTATTATTTCTCAAAAACTATAAGAAGTAAAGTATTATTAATAGTTTAATTGCTGAAAGTCTTATCCATTAGATTAAAGTAAATGTAATCAACATGCAAGAAGCCATTGTGTTGTCTTGTGATAAGAAAACCATAAAACACAGAAGACCTTTTGGGCCTTCCATGACTGTGTCATTTAGTTTTTAACTTCATGGGGAAAAAAAGGCAGCAATTAAATTTTTTTGTTAACGACCAATGAAGAAACTACAAGAAAACTTGTTGATATCCATGCATCAGTTTGATGCATGAGAAATATGTTTGGAAACTTTATTGAAAGTGATGATTTAGTTTTGTACGCTCATGTGTAGATTTTATTTTACTTGGTTATATCAAGTAACCATTGCACTTAACACTTATAGAATCATTCAATCAAAAGTATAATTTAAACTAATAGGAGCATTTTCCAATATGCCAACATGAATACAAATGGCACTTGTGTTTTAAATTGTATTTTTACTAAATCTGACCCATTATATTGACCCATTTATCAACAACATATGAAGCTATGTGAAACCAGCTGATATTTCTACTTCTCTATTATGATTACATTTGATCATTATCTTACAGTTTGTGTTCGGGTGTGGCTTATGTTTACAGTAGCAATAACCTTGATCGGAGCTTTTTTTTCTTCTCTGTCTTCCTTGTTCTCCTCTTGATGAACATGACAGAAATGAGCTTGTAATGTTTCAAGCTAATTAACCCACATTTGCTTCAGTTTAAAGTGCATCAACCATGTTCCACAACTGATCTGTGAATCAATGTGGGTTGTGTCCTCAACACCGAACCCTAATAGCCGCTCTGCCACGTCAGTCAACTCTCATTACACAGGAGCTTTCCTGTTTCGCATCCTGTTTTGTGCCTGCCACCGCAAACAAAAGTACTCTCCTGAACTGTTGGGACTTTGTGATGGTTGGGTGGGGGAAGAGAAACCGCTCTCTGCTATCTGTGCTACCCTCCAGCCCTCACACTTGTCAGAACAGTTTATAAAATCTCTTAATCTTGATTACAGGCACCCCACAACCCCCCTCTTCCCCACATTGCTTGGTCCAGCAGGATGCTGTGTATGGAGACCGCTAACTGTACAGTAAATTATTGTGACTCAGTGTGTGAGAACGTTTGACTCCGATCGACCGTTTGTGGAGTTGTGGAGTAATTTCCTTCTGTTTGTGAATTACCTACGTCAGCTATGCAGAGCTGAAGCCCCCTGTGTTGTTTTGCTCAGCAGGAAGAAGGTGCGTGATTGAGGAACGGCACAGTTTATGCTGAATCAGTGAGACCCTAAAAGTGGAAATGAGATTTTATTTATTAAGCAGATTTGCGATGCCGGTTGCGCCGTGCATGCTTGATGACAGCTTCCACTGCTGATTAAGCAAGATGTTTTTGCGTTGATGTATGGCAGATAATTTTTTGTTTAAATGTTTCCCATGCTGTGCAAAACATGTCAGCAAGGTCCACTGCTGAAATGCTGGTGTCCTTGAGCCAAAGATTAATAGCAGGAGTGCTAGCATTCATAAATTATGGTCATATACAACATGCTGGACATAATTGAAACGCTGAGGAATTATATACTGTGCTATAAAAGAGCTTTGCAAATTTAAAACAGTATTTTTTGGGGGGGAGAGGAATTGGAAATGGACAATATTGTTGAATGAGAATTTGTTTTTTATTGCTAGCTTACCCCCCATGTTGTTCCAAGCTATTTTCTTTCATCTGTGAATTACAGTAGATGATGTTAGGTAGAATGTCCGAGCTTCTGTTTTCCATGCACGTAAAGTAGATTTGTAAGATTTATGAAAATTCTGTCGTCCTTTACTCACCCTCTAAGTTGTTCAAAGCCTGTATGAATTTCTTTCTTCTGCTGGACACGAAAGAAGATATTTTGAAGAATGTGGGTAACCAAACATTTAATGTCCCATTGACTTCAATGGTGTCCCCCCACCCACACACCAAATACTATCGGAGTCATTGGGGACAACTTGGGGGTGAGTAAATTATGAAATAATTTTTATTTTTGGTTGAGCTATACATTTAAGCTGTAAGACATAAAATAGTCCATATAAATTGGGTGCTTTAATGTGGTGTTCTGAAGTCATATGTGTGATCAATATATTTCATATTTGCTGCATCGTATGTTGGTCATGAGATTTGAGAGTAAATAAATAGATTTTCTATGAATAAGATACATTTTGGTCTGTTCATCACAAAAGATATTGTATGTCTTCCGGAGATATGGATTATTTTATTATATTTTATTGTTGGTTTGGGGTGAGTAAGATTTATTTTTGAAAGCGAGAAATTAATACTTTCAATCAGCAAGGATGCTTTAAATTGATCAAAAGTGACAGTAAAGACTTTTAAGTTGTTACAAAAACACACATTTATTTCAAATAAATGCTGTTCTTTTGAACTTTCTATTCATCAATGAATCCAGAAAAAATGTATCACATTTTTCACAAGAATATTAAGCAGCAGAGTGGTTTCAACATTGATAATAATAAGAAATCAGCATATTACAATGGTTTCTGAAGGATCATGTGACACTTAAGACTGGAGTAATGGCTGCTAAAAATTCAGCTTTGCCATAACATGAATAAATTGCACTTTTAAATATATATATTATAATAGAAAACTGTTGCTTTAATTAACTTGGTGAACATAAGAGACACATGAACAGTAGTGTAAATGTTTAATTCCATACCAGACAATGTTTCATTGATATGAAAATATGAGTGCAGACATAGGAGATAAGATGTTTTTATTGAGTTGAATGTGCTACTATATACTACAGCCTGCTATTAGCCTTGCCAATCTTGTTCTGCTTTATCTACTTTGTTTTAGCAGTTTCTCAATTTATTTGAAAATCACAGATTTTTTGTGTAAATTTTCTGAATGCTTTTTGGGTTAAAGAAGAGATTAATTTAGAAAGAAACTGAAAACCATGTTTCTGTTGTCAGAATTTAAATCTTCTGCATGCTGCTGATATCTGTCATATCTGAATTGTTTATTGCCTAGTTAATGATTTGCAGACCGTGTTGAGTTGAAGAGTCCATAAGGAAGGAGCTCCTTCAAACAGATTCAGCTCAGAATATGCAGAAAAATGTGTTCCTCCATCACCCCATTCCTTCCCTGCATGTTCTCTTCACTCCCTTGAGCCGTAGCTGCTCATCAGATGAAATAGTGGTGCACAGCGTGTGGTGTTTTTTTCCAACCTGTTCTGTTCACTTCACATTGATCGACGGGATGCGATCAGGCCTGTCTCTCAAAGCTGTTCAGTGGATGATGATAATAACAATCACCGTCTTGTGAAAGAACTGGTATTGTTAGGATAATGCCCACATCGAACACCACTGCTAAGGGAAAGCCAAATGAAAGTCTTTGTAACAGGTACAGGACATGAAGATTGCCAGACAGTAATGGGCCCGCTCTATTGGTCGACTGTCAGGTTTGGACAGAGCGTTTGAAGAATAGGCGGTGCACCAAATAGAGACAGAAACCTGATGGGACTAGATGTAGAACACTGACTCTTTTGTCTCTGAATAGAGTTGAATGCTGCAGTCTCTGTGCTGAAATTGTACATTTACGTTTTAAAGATGGGTAATTTGAGAAAAGATCAGACTTTTACAATGTGCAGACTTTTTCGGTGCTATTAACATTAGTGTCTTTTTTTAAAGGGGTCATAGGATAACCATTTTCCACAAGTTGATATGATTCTTAATGAAAAGTCTGTAACATACCGTTTTAAAGATGGGTAATTTGAGAAAAGATCAGACTTTTACAATGTGCAGACTTTTTCGGTGCTATTAACATTAGTGTCTTTTTTAAAGGGGTCATAGGATAACCATTTTCCACAAGTTGATATGATTCTTAATGAAAAGTCTGTAACATAGTTTGGTTAAAATTTCCCAATGGTAGAGTAAAAAACCCCTTTTCAGATCAAGCCGTTTTTGTAGCATTTTCCTTTAAATGTTAATGAGCTCTGCTGACCCCGCCCCTCTCTTCTGAGCCGCTCTCTGAGGGACTGTTTACTTTAGCTACATTCATCATGAAACTGCTAATTAGCACGTTATTAGGAAAGGAGATTTGCAAAGATTCATTACAAAACATACTCACTTCTTCTGTAGATGAGGCTGGATCATGAATGATTCGCGCGAATATAGATGCATTTGCACAGAGCCATCTGAGATCGGCTCGATTTGAGAAAGGGGAAAACATTTAACAAGATTAAAAACACTGGGTGTATTTTTATCATTATAGGGTGGTTGTGTACACACTGCCAACACACATTTCAGTTCAAACAACTTGAAAAAGTGCATGTAGCATCCTATGACCCCTTTTACAATGCAAATACTGTAGAGATATGTTTTTAAAAAGGTCATATCATCATACTTCTATCATTTTAACTTTCCCCTTAGTTTCAACTATGGCAGTCAAGGTTTATTACAGCAAATAAAAAATTTAGTTTTTTTTAATTGGGTTAACTTTTTTCACCCTCTCTGACCCTTAGAATTCAACAGGACAATTTTTGCTGCCCTGCCCTTAAGACTTAAACACTTTCTTCTATAAATGAGATTTCTAGAAATGAGCATTTTGCTGCATTTATTTTTGGGAAGAGCATTTGCTGTCAGGTTCAATATAGTTTGCATTGCTCCATTCTTTGTTAAGCATGAATTACATTGGGACAGGTTTGCAAACCAATTTGTACTGAAATGTGCCGTTTAGAGACTTTGTCTAAAACTTCAGCCACTCTTTTCTAATGCTGGGATCCCTTGTAATCAAATGCAGAGCAGTAGGTGCTACACACAGCCAGGAACAGCACAAGTTTGGACTTAATTTACTCTTATTGATTTGTATTTTTGTGTTTAGCGATAATAGTATATGCTGCTTTTTCTTATTATTGTCTCACTGAGCCAAAGTTTTGAAAACCAAATAAGCATAGTTGATGTCTAAATGTGGTTATACTGTATTCTAATTGATGTCAAGAGGTGCAGAGTAATTCAGAACGAGCCATTTCAACTTAGTCTTATTGAAACATTTAATCTTTTATGATATATAACCCATTCAAAGTTAATGTTGGACTTGAGTAACTTGATGAAAGAAAGATTGTTCTTTCAAATACTTCAGTGAGTTGCTTTGACATTTCTTTATAATGCATCAAGATGTCTGTTCCCCGTCAGCATGACTGAAGTCAGAGGAGGTGTGATTTCTCAGGTCCCTCAGCTTTGCAGTACTTAAATTAGCCCTCACTGTCATCTTCACACACTCCCAAGGCGCTGGGGCCCCTGGGATGTCACCCAGTCGGCACAGGTTGTCCACACCGCTGGACCCCATTTGCTCATACAGAGTTGATTAAATGTGAGGAGGATAAGAATGTTGTCTCTGATCCTTCACCCTTTGTCTTTAATCCACAGAAAATAAACTTTTTACTTTCCAGTGGCACTTGAATTGAGAAATGTATGTCCATAAATATTAAAAAATATATTAATAACCATGAAACTGTATTTTGCGTTATTGTTATATGAAATGATTCTAAATGTATTTTATTTATAATAAATTTTATGATTGATCTTTTAATGAAAATTCGGAAATTCAAGAAAAATGTCTGTTTTCAAAATTGAGTTGGGTAGAGAGCGGAGATTCGCCAGATGGATGCTCGGCAACGGCGTTCTGAATCCGCGCTTCCTGAGCTTCACGAGCGCGCCGGCTCGCTTCCCCCGTCTGTGCGTCCTGAAGCGTTTGATCAGCGCAGCAGCTCCGCCAAGTACAACGTTCAGCAAAACGTCCGAATAAACGAAATCCGGTAGAAGATTGTGTGGTGTGTTCTGCCGAATGTTCAGCAGCTCATCCCTGGTAAAGCTGATCGTGTTTGAGAAACAAAAAACAGGAAAAACTAACAAAAACAGTACAAACACTGGAGAGCCAAACACTGCGGCTGCCGTCTGCGGCGCCATCTTAGTATAAGAACGTTGTCTCTGATCCTTCACCCTTTGTCTTTAATCCACAGAAAATAAACTTTTTACTTTCCAGTGGCACTTGAATTGAGAAATGTATGTCCATAAATATTAAAAAATATATTAATAACCATGAAACTGTATTTTGCGTTATTGTTATATGAAATGATTCTAAATGTATTTTATTTATAATAACTTTTATGATTGATCTTTTAATGAAAATACGGAAATTCAAGAAAAATGTCTGTTTTCAAAATTGAGTTTTGAGCATCTGCCATTGTTTAAACAAACAGGTAGTCCCATGCTAAACTAAAGTCCATTTAAGGCATGCAATTCACTCGGTGGCCATCTTTGAAACGCCTGTCGGGCATGAAAGTGCAGCTCTTCTTATTACTGTTTTATTGTAGTTTACTGTATTAACCTACAGTACTGTATTACTGAATTACTGTAGGTTTGTGGTTAACACAAGCTCAAAATATTTTCACATTTTATTGTATGACATAATATACAACAGTAATACCCCAGTTGTGAATGTTTTAAAGCTTTTACTTGGCCTTGAAAAGGCGGATGCTAACAAGTGGCTAAATTGGACTACAGACTGAAAGGGACATTCAACTTAAACTTTGAAGTTTGTGTACATTTGTGTAGTCAATTTTTTAGCCTACATATAGCTTTTCAATGCTGACGATTGTATTTAGGATTTAAAATTCAAAAGTTGTGAAGATTATCATGATGAACAAAACATGTAAGAATCATAGTACTGGTAACAGCTTACTTTCTGCAATAATCAAAAAGTCAATGGAAAAATCCTATTGGGTTTTTGTCGAGGGAACCAGGCTGATGCTAACTTCTGCGTTGGACTACAAATATATGTCATTGCGGCACTCTATGCACCACACATACTGTTAAAATCAGACTGAAATGATCGGTGAATGTGTTTAAAATGAAATTCAGTTGCCCACATGCCGAGAACCTTTTGAAAGAAATGCAGAGGGGCAGATGATAAATTCAAATGTCTGTGCAACTTAGTCTCTTTTTGGCATGAGAAGGAAGTTTTGAGTTCAGAAAGTTAGCGTGTTTTCAATGTACATCAAGCTCTTATCGCAAAAGGTCAAGGTAAATTTGGTTTCCTTATGATAAAACCCCTTTAAAGTTCAGCCATGTGGGTTTGATGAGGTCACATGTGGGGAAAATTGTATTCACGGTCATAAGGAGTGGTTCTATTAAAAAAAATGTAAGTTTAACTTGTGTATTTCTATCTTTACTTTTCTTTGCAAGTTTCTCTTCAGTATCTGGCATGTTGAAATGGAAACTCTACAGACATTCTCAAAGACTGTCGATCAGCTATTTTAAAAAAACCATCTTAGTTGGCATACTAAATGAGTTTGCCTTCAACATGTCATTTTGTAAAAAACATTTTGATCTGTCTTGTCCACTAATGGCTGAGCATTGATTTCTACTCATTGTGGTAGTGTCTTTTCATTTCAAGCATGCGGCAGAGAGATGATAAGGAGGTGGGTCAGTGTCTCAGTTTGTGACATGGTCTGTCTGATCTTGTCATTTTCCTCTTCTTTAGATGACAGCAGCTTTATCTATTGTTGCTTTATCGGCTTAGCTTCATCCAAACTCGGAATCGCATGGCTCTGCTGGGAAGACTGATGGAGAGTGTGGCAGAGAGAGCATGCGGTCCCACCATAGGACAGCACATAAGAGCAAAATTTCAGAAGCTATTTTGGGGCACTTTTGTGAGAAAGTTTTATTTTATTTATAGTTTTTTTTTTAAGGTCGTGTTGCTGTTGTCGTTTCTCCCCTGTCATCATGGTTTGACACACTTGCGTAATTTTGCACAAATGCCACAGTTATATCGGCATGCAGTTGGGGATATTGTTTTGAATCTTCTGTGGTGTTTGGCCTTGACAGTGAAAAATGATGATCTCTGTCTCTCACCTCCTCAGGTTGCAGTGTCATCTGCCCTGCAGGCAGCAAAGGTGTCTCCGCTCATAGAGAAAGTCAGTGACCATAAGGATTTCAAGAAACTTCTGAGAACCAGAACTAATGTTCTTGTCTTGTATACCAAGTCAGGTCAGTCACCACTGTTGTTTTCTAACAGCTTTAGCAGCCTAAAAAAGCCAAGATGTGTTTTAGTGATCTCTAAGGTCAAAGGTATGTTTTTACGCTGCCTTCAAAAAAAATGTGCTATTTAACTGAATGTGTTATTATTCAGGTTGCTACAAGGCTCAACAATAAAGATGGTCAACTGCCCTGTAATTGCAAAAATGACTTGCAATTTTTCTTGTGGAGAAGAAAAAAAGGAATATACATTGGGTATAGAAAATAATCACCCCCCTTTATAATAATCACATTTTGTTGCTTTGCAGCCTGAAATGAAGACGTATTTGACACAGTTATATCTTTCACTTGGATGTTATAAGTTGCACTGAGTAAATGCAGCTGGATAAAACCACAACTGTGCCCATCTTTATTTCAGGCTGCAAAGCAACAAAATGTGATTTTAAAGGGGGGTGTTTCTTTTCTATAACCACTGTAAGCAATATTATAGAAAATGCACTAGCAAAAAAATTATTAAGGAATATTATATAAATACACTAGAATAAATATGCTACCTTTTCAAAGGTTTTGGGTCCGTTTTAATAAATTTTTTGTATAAATTAATTTATAGTTTATTTTATTTTATTTTTTTCAGCATGGATGCACTAAATTGATAAAAAATGACAGTGTAGACATTTATAATGTTACAAAAAAATGTTCAAATACATTTGTCTATAATAACGGTCTATTCATCAAAGAATCTTGAAAAAAGTATCATGGTTTACACGCATATATTAAGCAGCAAATCTGTTTTTAACATTGATAATGATGAGAAATGTTTCTTGAACAACAAATCAGCATATTAAAATGATTCCTGAAGAATCATGTGACACTGAAGACTAAAATAATGGCTGCTGAAAGTTCAGTTTCGCCTTCACAGTAACAAATTTAATTGTATATTAAATGTGTTAACATATAGTGTAATAATATTTCACAATATTTCTGTTTTTACTATAGTTTTAAATGAATGCAGCCTTGGCGAGCACAACCGAAGTCTATCAAAAAATAAATACATTTATATATAAAAATATATACAAAAAATCTTACTGACCGCAGACTGTTTAACAGTAGTGTACATTGCTGAAAATACAAATGGATCAGTTATTTTGTAGTGGGGCCAGTGATAATGTTGACTGGACAAGTAATCATAATTACTGGCCCAACTGGGACAGCAAGAATTTTTTTTTTACTGTTGAGCCCTGTGTTAGCTATAAACATGCTGACTTTAACTTGCTCAGCAGGACTGTCTTCAATGTGTCGTTCTGCCATGACAGTGTTTAACCTGAAAGAGAAAACTCGCCATAGAGGCAGATTCTTTATGGTTATGCAGTGTACACATTAATTGTGATTTGCGTTCTGACACATTTCAGAACGTAAGGAAGAAAATCAAGCTTGCGCTGCTAGAAGTGTATGTGTTACACGCCCTAAGGGAAAATGCATTGAGCAGGTATGATTCTGCTATATGCTAACAGACCTGTCATGCCACAGTAGGTAGGTCAGCTTTGCTTTCACTGCCAAAAGCATGTTGGCGCCTTTAGATACTTGACCTTATGTGCAGCACACTTGGAGTTCTCTCTACTTGCCACACTCATTAGATGTGAAAATCTAAATCTTATGGCCATAGACAGAGTACATAAAGATATTCAACACTCTAAACTCCTAAACACTCTAATGCATTGCTCTCTTCCAGCCATTAGAGAAAAGAGAAGAAAAAAAACTACCCCTAACACTGCATATTCATTTGCATCTCTCCTGGGTGTTATTAGCAGAACCAGCAGGCAAAGTGCCATATATGGGTACCGTATGGATGAAGGTTCCATAAACAATCTCCCACCCACAAAGCAAGGGAAAGAGCCTCTCAAGGTCTTGCTGTGCAAGATTTATTTGTTTCATAATTCCCGACTCATTTCGAGCACATGAGGTCATTGGATAAGACTGTGTATCGAACAGTGCGTTTGATTGATGGCTGACTAGTGCTTCTAATCCTGTAAAGTATTTCCATTAGATGCATCCTGCTAACTGTGATAGTCCCTTTAGACTGCAGGAATGCATTCATGATCAGGTGGTGCATAGGCACTTCTCATTCAAAAGGGTACAGGTTTCAACTCATTCTTTCGATTAAAACCCAAGATGAACTGAAAAACAGAACCACAGAAATCATTGTCCTTTTGACCTTGACCGATGTGATTTAATGGGAAGAAAAGCAGATTGTGGGTTCAGTGGTGTAGTAGAAGATCCCAGACTGTCACAATGTGTAAATCTGGGGTGTAGTGAAACTGTCACTGTGTTTTCACACGTAGTACTTTCACACTCTGTTCTGTTGTTTCGAAGTGTAAAGTTAGTGTTGGCAAATGCTTTCATTATCAACAAGAGTACTAATGGTTGAAAAGCTATTAAAAATGGAGAACAACATTCACTTCACCTTTTCAGATTTTTTATTTTATAATTTATTTATTCCTATTTGAACAGTGCTTTTAGCTCTACTACCTATGTTTTTATCACTCAGTAAACACTGGGAAAATTGTGCTTGGATGTGCTGGATGTGCAATTGTACAACCATGTATATGTAATCAGTAGTGTTTCATTTCCAGACCAGATTGCTTTTATAATGTGACCTTGAGTTTGCACCAATCAAAAAAACTAAAAGAACTTCATTTTATGGACATCTGCATTCATGTACTCACCAAATATTGTTGTATGTATAGAGGAATATAATAGCCTATAAACGTAAAGCGACTCAGATAAAGTAATTGACTAAATTAATTACCCTTTTTTATGTTTTACTGGATGTTTTAATGTTTTGAAAGCAGACTCTTATGCTGATTGAGGCTGCATTTATTTGATCTGAAATACAGGAAAAACAGAAATATTAGGAAATTATTACAATTTAAAATGTCTATTTTACTAATATATATATATATATATATATATATATATATTTGTACTACAGATACAGTGAAACAGTTCTTATTGTTATCAATGTTGAAAATGGTTGTGCTGCTTAATATTTTTGTGTAAACATGATAAATTTTTTTCAGGATTCTTTGATGAATAGAAAGAACAGCATTTATTTGAAATGTAAATCTTTTGTAAAGAATGAAAGACATGAAATGGTAAACTACTTGCGTAATTTACTGTCTCTGTCTAATTTCTTTTGAATGAATCATATTCGTATGTGAAAACATGCCATTTGTAGACTTTTTTCTATTTTTGTATGCATTCATATATTCCCCTGCAAAGACATTTTAGCTCTGAGTATCTGTTTACATGCAGTCTAATAATCCGTTATTAATCTGACGGATAGCGCAGTCAGAATGATGTCTTTCATGTAAACACCAGTCAAAATATTGTGCAAACTGATTTTCTCTCTTACACTTACACAGAGATCTTTTGAACTAGTAATGGCTCGCTTAGTAGACTATGAGAATGTAGATCAGAAGCACTAGCTAAATGTAAAAATATATTTGTAAAATTATTAAAAAACATTTTAATGGTATGTAAAATGTTAAAATAGTTTCTGTAATTTCATGTACTATAAAAAAGAAATGATGGTAAATTATAATAAGTTATAATTGAGGCTATTTATAGCATGAGCTCTACAGGTGACATGCAGGCTACCTGGTGCCGTGGGCACTGTGTTAGAGACCATTCGCAAACACTGGATACAAGCTTATGATATTTAAAGGTGTTACAGTAGTAGAAGTATACTTTATTGTCCTCGGAAAGAAAATTGTTGTGACTACATGTTGCTGCATAGACATGTAGTAAACAAACAATAAAAAAATAAACCATAATAAAAACCTATCAAGATAAACACTTGTTAAACAGAAACACATATACCAGTACAAAATAATTCTCATATTGATTTGATTTACACATTGGGACTCAGTATCTTCTACCGGAGGGAAGCAGTTCAAACAGTTTCTACAACATGTCTTTTCTACAGTCATCTAAATGTGTTTTTGTGTCCTCAGCTTCGTCTGGAGATGCTCATTTAAAGCTGCTGTCTGATGTGGCTCAGGCCGTGAAAGGTCAGGGTACCATCGCCTGGGTGAATTGTGGGTGAGTACCAATTGATTTAGCTCTTTTATTTGAGCAGGTTACTGCTATAGTGTATTTTTCTTGCCACTAATGTTGAGGCAGTTGACGTCCTGATCAACTAGTTGGTGTTGCTTTATTTCTAATACTGTCTTTACCAGGTGTGATGCAATAAATGCGGTATGAGGGTTATAGATGGTGTTTTTGGACTCACGAGGAGGTTTCTGGTCAAACAGTATGTTTATGGAGAACCTTGAACTTTTTTTTTATTTAAAAATGAAAGTGTGGTTTAACCCAAGTTCAGTGTGAAAAACCCTTTTGATTCATCGTAATATGATCCCCTAAGCCTACATTATTAGCTCATGTACACAGGTTGTGTCTGTGGGGATTACCTTGGATTACTGTGGTTTATCTTGTTCCATTGCATCCTTGTTCAGCTCATGCACGTGTCACAGCTCAGCATCTTCTATATGCCTCTGCTTTAAGAAAGAGATATCACAAGTTGTTTTGATGATTAGCAATAAAAACTTGGTCTCTGAATCATTTCTCAATTGCTAGGTGGTAATTGGTAGGATGAGGCAGGCAATAAAAACTTTATCTTGTTAGCAGCTAAGCACACACACACACACACACACACACAAAATTGTTTTAGCCTAGCCAATCCTTAAAGCACCTTTTTGAGACCGGCTTGGGTACACTGGGTCCCCTTGTAATGAACTTATATAAAGATGGGTTTAAAAAAAGTAACTCCGTGTGGTAGAGCAAAGTAGAGAGAGATACGCCCACATGTTTCCTACAGATGACAGGGACCTGAGAGATGGCCAACTGCAGTCCACTGGGGGATACCATTAAGGAAGTAGGTCATGGACAGAGCGAGATCAGTATGAAGAAAATGGCAATGCAATAATTCTGGAATCTGAACAATCCAATGGGATTTTAAATGAAAACTTGGAGAGAAAAAAAACAGCTTTTTCTCAGAACCTTCAAACTTTACTTGATTTTCAACTCCGCAATTTGTCCACTTGACACACACTAACCACTTTCAGCAATTTTGACCCTTGGATATCCACTTTCAAACCCCCCTGCAAGCAAAAGTTATTGACTTGACCCTTGACTCTCATGCTTTAGAACAGCTTTTGGTGCTTGAATAGGATGACCAATTATTTTGGCGTCCCGAACAGGGTTGTGGGGATTAGGAGGGTATGAAGGGGCATATCTACGCATGTGTGCTCATTGCCATCTGTGATCCTGAGTCAGCTCGTTCGACACACAGCGTGTCTAATTGAGTTTCCCACCTGACAGACTTCAGCTCTGATCTACGCTGCACCTCTCTCAGTCCTCCCACAAAGGCGTTATGTGGGAAATGCGTAACACTAATGATAGCGTCTCATCTACCTTTAAGGAATGGAGCTGGTTGGGGGCGGATGCTGTCAGAAGCATAATTGAATTCCGTCTCTTTGAATTTCCATTAGCATGGGGCTTTAGATCGCTGTTGAGTCCTCTCTGCTCCTATTTGTCCTTATGTAATACATTTCCATGCTCATTATCGCTCAAGGGAAGGGTAGTCTTTACAATGGAGAGATCTGGATCTCTTTGGGGGGGTGTGGGCGTATGTGTGGTGACAGTGGGACCAGGTAATTGTGGGTCCTTTCTGTTCCCAGGTTCTGTTGAGGTGCGAGTGTGAAGATAGAGTGCTTTGTTGCCATTTTCATTTTTTGTCATTGGCTGTATGACAGAGATGAATTTATCTGGAACTGGAGCTTTTAGTTTTTTTGTGCAGTGAATTTAGAGAGCACAGATTTTTGAATCCCTCCGTGGCACTCTCTCTTAAATAGGATACAAAATAGGGCCAGAAACCCCCTAAAAATTTTCAGCAACTGGCCAGTGAAAGTAGTTTGTTAACACAAGTTTTATACAAGCAGTTCTGTATTGTAATCCGTAAAAATTTATCAAATGGACTGAAATCATTTTCATGTAGAAAGGGTCATAATGATTTTACTTCTTAAGATAAAGACATACTGTATGATGTTTAATTATAGCTACTTTTCACACTACACAAACTATTATTTAACATAAAATTATCATGCCTAATATTTCTTACAATAATAGCATGGAATTAATGCTTTAAAAGAGTCTTGGGATTCAAAGTGTAGCGCATTGTACCACATACTTGTACAAAATCCATTTAATGCGCAGGACTTTTTGAAGCATGCTATTCTCCTGCAAGGAGTTGCTAAAGCGGAGCGAGAAGGAAAAAACACGAAACTCTTCTTATCTAGAGACCCGTGGCTCTGAATTAAAGCAAGCAGAGTTTATGTATAATACAATGTAGCAGCTGAATGTCTTGTCCTTCAAAAAGAGAAGAATGACAGGGTTCGACAAAACTTAGAAGTGGCCCTTACATTAGCTTATTTCTGTGGTCATCTGTCGCTTCCCATGAGCGATCTTGTATTGCTGCTACAGCAATTTATTTAATGTCTTGGAACATTAATTGTCACTTCACTTTTTGGCTGCATCAATTTGCATGACAAATGTCCTTTGATGACTTGTGTTATAATAGAATAATGTGATATTATAATATTTGTTGAGCATAATTCACTATGACTTAATATTTGCACAAAAAGTATGAAATTAATTGATTGTGCTTGCAGACATTTGGTTGCTTTAAACTTTGTTTTCCTTTGGGTTGTACACCATTCATAGGTCCTTCAGAGGTTGCTAACAAAATGAAAACATTGTCATTTGAATTCAAAGGAGGAAAATGAAATGAAAATCAAAGAAATTAATGTATTTTACCTGTTATTATTGTAACTGTTAGTGGTTTTTAATACAATGTCAATAATATAATCAGTTATTAAAATTGGAACTTTGTTTGATTTCTACTGTGATTATGCATTATTTATTACTGTATGTGAATCTATTAAGTGATTGAATATTTATATATTTTTCTGTCGGTTCCCCTCCACAGGGATTCAGAAGGTCGCAAACTCTGTAAAAAAGTCAAGGTAGACCCCAGTTCGAAAACCAATGGAGTTGAGGTCTTGCATTACAAGTAAGAATAATCTTCATTTTCTGAGATTCATGTACTGTAACGATGGCAGTTGGAGGTCTTACAATTTATTATTACTGAGAAGCGTGAGCACAGTAATTCATCTTTTAATTTTGTGGTGCTTTTAGGGATGGGACCTTCCACACAGAATATAACAGACCAGCTACTTTTAAGGTAATTTCTCAGAAAATTGCATTTTGATCAAGTCATCTCTGACACAAATCACAGCATTTTTGAAAGCCTCCTTCAGAATCCAATTAATCAATATTTCTTTGTTAGACATATGGATTGACAATCTGCATTTTCACTAAAGAGCGTCAGTGCCTTTTCGGATGCATACTCTGTCATACTATCTGTTAGTGGATGATTCACTCTTTGTTGCTATTTACTCGCTCCGTGTCCACAGTTTTCCCAGTGCTGTTATTTCACAGTACTCGGCCTCAAGCACCAGAGCCAGAAGCCCTTGGTTCATAAGTAGACGAATCAAACTTCTCTCACCCATCTCATTCTCCACACGACTTTCGGCTCAATTATGACCGAATGTGACAAGGCGTTGATGAATGACTCTGATGATGAATGAGAAGAGCTGTAATGTGAATATGTTAAAAATGAATGAGATGAGCTATGCTGGATGATGAGACTGTGATGGGACATGCTGGTGTGGAAAGAATGGAGAGTTCTTATTAAATGCACCTGCTGTTAAGTACCACATATTGCTCTTCATTTTCCTTTGGTACAGGAGTAAAGCCGTACTTTGAGCACTTCATGTCAAGGGAGTGCTTAGTTCCTAATGCCTTGCATGCATAGATTAGGAGATAAATTAGAGTAACTGCACAAGAGAGGAACGGTTTTCATTACTAATCAATCACAGCACTTTTTGTGTTCAAGTTAGATCACACTATAGAGCAAGTTTGGATACAGAACTGACTATATTGTAGAAATATTTGCTTTGTTGCATTTTTTTTTTTTTTTTATTCTAGTTGCATGTTTAGTTCGTACTTGCACTACTGTATGAAAGTTTGTGGTCAATAATTTTTTATTTTTTTTAATAAAGTAATACTTTTATTTGGGATGATTTAAATTAATCAAAAGTTACAGTAAAAACTGCTACAGTAAAAATTAAAAAAAAAATCTTATTCCAATAAATGCTGTTCTTTTGAATGACTTTCTATTCATCAAAAAAATCTGGGAAAAATTTTTTTTTTAGCATTGATTATAATGAATGTTTCTTGAGCACCAAATCAGCATATTAGAATAATTTCTAAAGGATCATGTGACACTTTTTTGTTTTTAAATTTAATAATATTTTACAATATTAATGTCTTAATATATTTACTGTTCTGTACTACTTAAAAAAAAAAAAAAAAAAAAAAAAAAAAAAAAACAAACAACCCCAAACTTTTGAATTGTAGTGTACATTTTTTCATGCAAATATTAGATCCGTACCTCAAATCTAGTGGTTCTCAATTCCAGTCTGCGCGTAGCACCGCTCTGCATATTTTGCATGTTTCTCTTATTTAACCCACCTGATTCCGATAACCAACTCGTTAGAAGAGAGCTCCATGCATAAACTGTGTTCCGATTGACATGGTCCCTCCCTACACAGTGTTCATTGTGTGAAGTGTAACATAATCAAAATAAAAACAATAAATACCATTTAAATTCATGTCTCACACTTTAATGTGCACAGAATGGAACATATACGCTCCCTTCGAACTGGAATCATGGTGGAATATCCTGTGAAGTCCACTTCGATGGTCGAATAGAACAAATGTCTGAAGTGATAAGAGATAGGCTACATACAAAATGTGCAGAGCGGTGGTATGTGAGGACTGGAATTGAGAACCATTGCTGTAATCTCACAATGATTCACTATTAAAATGAAATGCATACAGCGAGTTGACCATTTTATGACAGTGAAAGATGATTCTGTAATGTCTTTTTTCAAAGTTTCTATCTATTCTCTCACCTCTTTTAGTCCATGGTGGCATTCCTGAAAGACCCTGCAGGTGCCCCCCTGTGGGAGGAGAACCCTGAGGCTAAAGATGTTGTTCACATCGAGTCAGAGAAGGTAAGTATCACTCGCTAAAGCTCACTGCAGCAAAGATCGGTTTTCTGCTGAGTATTTATCAGGTGTGGGAACTTCACACAGAACAAAAGACTTGTAGCTGAACGATCTGCAACAGAAGAACCTGTCTGTTCTTCTATCTCTAGAGGCTAAATCTGGCAGCTGGGCTGGGTGTTCGGGAGTGTGGTATTAAATGCCCTAGCCTTAAATTTTTGGACTATTTGGGTATGTGAAAAAGACTAAAAGTTAAATCTGAAGACAGATTCAGGAGGTTGTAATATTTCACCCTAAAATCCAAAAGAAAGAAATAAGGAATTGTTTTTGCTTCAAATTTGGGAAAAAGAAAGAAAACAAGTTCTTTCTTTTTTTAAAGTAAAATTTTCATTAAATGTTTTACAGTAGTGATAAACAGCATTTTTTCCCAAGAAAGTCAAACTATGAATGGCTGCTCATTCAATGTTAATGAAATACTTTACATACTTGACACTGGAATAAATTGTGTACTTCATCATAAGTAGATTTAAAATAAACTGAGTCAAATATGTCCAGCAGTAGCCTTTTTTCAAAACAGAAATCACACTCTACAGATGGCGGTCAACAAAATACAATTTTTAGTAATGAAAGATTTGAAACATCTTTGAAGAGAACATCGATTTGTAATTTCTGACATTTTTGTTTTGTTTTGTTTTGTGCAATAGTGTGGTTTAGAGAGTCAATAATTAACACTGTGCTGGTGTGTGATGAAGTAATGATGCAATATGCCATGTTAAAGAAAGAGGCCAGAAAATCTCTACCCTTGTTTGTTGCTTTTACTGAGATGACCTAAAACTTTTCTAAAGTTTATAGCCACTCAGCCCAGAGTGTTTGATAAACTCATTTCATGCTGTTTGGTTTGCAGGACTTCCGGAAGCTGCTGAAAAGAGAGGAGCGGCCCATCCTCATGATGTTTTATGCCCCATGTGAGTCACTTCTGTCTGTAATCATCCACCACTAAACACTTCATATGATGTAAACTGTGTGCAGTCATGCAGGAAGTGCCATGTTCAAGCAAAACAAATCCTGTGAAGTGTGATTGTGTGTGCTTGAATCAATGTAGGTTGTGAATGCAGTCGAGATGTCATTAAGATGTCCAGCATTTGTCAGTGTGACATAAACAAGAGTTTAACTTCCAAAGACTTTTCTCATTCAGCTTAATTCCTCATGTAGTGCTCATAGAAACCCAAAAGCTCATTAGAAATCAGCCAAAATCATATTTAGATCGACAGATGTGGGGAACCTCTGGGCAGTACCAAATCTTTTTTTTTTTTCTGCCAAGACGCCAAACAGTAGCATCCACTGTAGCCATAGGGTTAATAAGACTATCACTATTACCTATTACCTTTTCTCATTTGAAAAAATACTTAAACTTACACTACCTTTCAAAAGTTTGGTGTTGGTTAAAATATGTATGTATATGTATATATGTATATATGTGTGTATGTGTATATATATGTATGTATGTGTATATATATGTATGTATGTATGTATATATATATATGTATGTATGTGTATATATATGTATGTGTATACAGTGGGTACGGAAAGTATTCAGACCCCCTTAAATTTTTCACTCTTTGTTATATTGCAGCCATTTGCTAAAATCATTTAAGTTAATTTTTTTCCTCATTAATGTACACACAGCACCCCATATTGACAGAAAAACACAGAATTGTTGACATTTTTGCAGATTTATTAAAAAAGAAAAACCGAAATATCACATGGTCCTAAGTATTCAGACCCTTTGCTGTGACACTCATATATTTAACTCAGGTGCTGTCCATTTCTTCTGATCAACCTCGAGATGGTTCTACACCAGCGGTGGCGAACTCCGGTCCTGGAGAGCCGCAGCCCTGCGGAGTTCAGCTCTAACCCTAATTAAAACTCACCTGCCTGTAGCTTCCTAATAACCGTTCAGACCTTGATTAGCTTGTTCAGGTGTGTTTGATTAGGGTTGAAGCAAAACTCTGCAGGGCTGCGGCTCTCCAGGACCGACGTTCGCCACCCCTGGGCTAGACTAGCAAAACATTAAAATGCAACGTCAGTTACATCATCATCACCGCATCTCGTGCTCCACTGATGACACTCCCTGAATATATGTGTATGTGTATATGTGTATATATATGTATATGTGTATATATATGTGTATATGTGTGTGTGTATATATATATATATATATGTATGTGTATATATATTAATACTTTTTATTCAGTAAGAATGCAATAAATTGATTAAAAGTGATAGTAAAGACATTGCAGAAGTTGCAGAAGACATTTTAAATGCATGTTCTTTTGAATTGTATATTCATCAAAGAATCCTGAAAAGAATTCACTGAAACACTGTTTTAACATGAGAAATGTTTCTTGAGCACCAAATCAGCACTTAAGAATGATTTCTGAAGGATCGTGTGAAGACTGCTGAAAATTCAGCTTTGCCATAACAGGAATACATTATATTAGAAAACAGTTATTTTATATTGTAAAAATATTTCAAAATTTTAAAGTTTTTACATTTTTGATACAGTAAATGCAGTATTGGTGAACATAAGAGGTTTCTTTTAAAAACATTCAAATATCTTACCGACCCCAAATTTTGAATGGTAATGTAAGTAATAAACTTTGGTGTATAACTATGAACATGGTATCATAATATTAATATTGAGTAATATTGTGCAGCCTTTCTGTGCAAAAACATGGCATGGTCACCTTTATCATTGTTTGACAAATTTTTGCGTGTGAAATCTAGTCATTTCAATAGGAATGTGTGCGACCATGAATTTTGAAAGATTCCCACAATTTTGCAATGCTTCAATTTGGTCACATGGAAAAGTGTTATTTTGAAAGTGACATCTGTGTGAGCTGTGATTCATACATTGCTACATTTGTGGCAATAGGCTCTGGACCTTTTTTCCACTAATGCACCTTAAACTGTTAAATCTCTTCTGCGTGTAGGGTGTGGCGTATGTAAAAGGATGCAGCCCATTTTCCAGCAAGCAGCCACTGAGACAAAAGGGAAATATGTAAGTACATAGGTCTTAAAATGTCTTCAATTCAGATTCAGTGGGTCTTAAATATTTTTGGTCACATTACTGCAAAACTTTCTCCTGCTGTAGTTACCACGTCATTAGAAAGATAATAAGAGATAAAGATAACAAAATAACTAGTGACACATTCTGATTTTATTACATTCATCTTAAACAGTGATTGATAATGGATAGTGTATTTCTGATATCAGTGTTGCTCCGCTGTTGAGGCCTGTGTCTGTGAGAGACTTTCATGGAGAAATCAAATCAAATGAGCATAATGGCACACATAAAGAAACTCATAGAACAAACATACTGAGGTTAAAAATTCTAAATGTTTAGTTGATTTATAACATGATTTAGTTAAGTAACACCATGACAAGGGAGCTATTTTGCTGAATATTTTCACAATTGCAAATGTTGCATTGATTTTAGTTCAACAAACAAGTAATGAAGTGTATGTTACTTACATTTTAGACACTATTGACAGTTTTGTTCTATTTCACCAACAAAAATCGTTCCAAACAAAGATCAGAACAAAAATATAGCACATTCTCTGAGCAACACTGTTACTGAATGATTCAGCGTTTTGAAGGAATCGGTTGAATCGGTTTAGTCTCATGTTTAAAAGTATTTTCCCCAAACGTTTCTTATTTGTGTATTCAAAATTTTATTTAAAACATTAATCTCATAACATTTATTTAATTTGCTTGGTAACAGCCCTGTAGTGTATATTGAATTTTTTTTATCAATTGTAAGAATTTGACATGAAAGATACATTTAATAAGGTTAAAAAATATTGGATTTTTTTTTTTTAAAGGTAAATTTATAAAGGTAAAAAACATCCTGGGGTAAATATTAAAAACATGCAGATATACAGTAAGTATGTAAAAGCTGATAGAACACTGATGAAAATAATGCTTCTGAATAAATAATTTACACCACCAAAAATCTCGGTGATGCGGTGCTTTTGTGGGGATGTTTTACATGGGATATTGTCTGCTGATATGAAAAGTTCACTGTATATCATAATAATAAATAGCATTTTTGACAACAATGATATTTTGTTTTCTTTTTACATTAAACGCATTAAATATTACATATACGTATGTAATATAATGTGTATTTCCATCACAGGTTTGGTCTTAAATTTCACATGAATGACAATAAATTATGACAATAAATTAATTATTCATTATTCATTCACATATGGTGCTATTAAAAAGGTCTTAAAAAGTCTTAAATTGAACTTGTTACAGTAGTAGCATGTCAGAATCATGCCCTATTGATTCCCGTTTCTTTTTTTTTTTTTTTTTTTGCTAAACTGTGTCTTAATACATGTTTTCTGTGGGGTTTTTTTTACCATATCTGATTCAGTTGTTGGATTACCTAACAGGTGGGATGTTTTGTGAACCCATTGATGTTCCTTTTTGACAACGTTTAGTTCCCCTTCATTAGAGGAAGAGGCAATTTTGCATTTCATAGTATAGTTATAGGATGTACTTCCTGCTGTTGAAGTCTATGGTGGAGTATGGATTATATGCCAGTTCAGCTCAATATCTCTGTGCACTGCTGGGAGACCCACAGTACACCTCACCACACATTTTTCTCTCTCAATCCTTCTCATTTTTATTTATTTATTTATTTATTTTTTTTAAATCCCTCCGTCTTTTTCCCTGTCTCTCATCTTAGATTGTTCACAGAAGCACAAACATAGATGCTTGAACTTTCATTCAAACTAAAATTGTCCAAATCGAAATTGAACAATTTTTAGACCCCGCTGTAAATGTCAAAGCGGGAGTGTTTTCTACATGGAAGCTTGCGTAAGCCAAGAGATCGTTGGTTAGTATTGTGCAGCTGAAACCATGCAAAGGTTCTTTTGTTCCTTTCATCCACTGGTAAACTGAAAAAATTATTGCATAAACAAAAACCACACCACAGGAGAGATTTTTTTAAATTACAATTTTGGAAATACTTTACAATATGTTTAAATTTGTTTACATTAAAGTATTGGGTATCATAAACTAACAATGAACAATGCTTTTACAGTATTTATTCATCTAGTTTAATGTTAATTTATACATGCACCACTGTTTGGGGTTGGTAAGACTTTGTTTTTGTTTTTGAAAAATCTAATAAAGGCTTCATTTATATGATTACAAATATATTAGTATAACTGTTTTTCGTTTTAATACATTTAAAAATTGTATTTATATCTGTGATGACAAAAGCTGAATTTTCAGCATCCATTGCTTCCGTCTTCAGTGTCATATGATCCTTCAGAAATCATTCTGGTATGCTGATTTGGTGCTTAAGAAATATGTATTTATTTTGTGCTGCGTGATACAGTATATATATATATATATATATAAATAAGCAATAAACACTGTAAAAATGTGCATTCTTTGTTTATGATACCTAATGCATTAACTAATGTTAATGAATTGAACCTTAATGCAAAGTATTTATTATTATAATTGTTCTTTTCATATGGAGGGATATTTAAGCAGTATTTTTTTCTTTAACCGCAGACCTATGAGTGAGCACTAGTAAATAAACTGCTTGTTTGAAGATTTGAATAATGAATGGTAGCTTGTTGTTATGGACGCGACGTGTAGATTTGCTGCCTCCTGTGTTTCTGAGTTTCCACGTACATGTGGTAAGAAGCTGATAGTACTGCAGGAACATTGATGGATTTGGGAGGTAATCACTGGTCAGCTGTTTGTCTACATATTTCTCATTGGCCTGATGGATGCTTATGGGCCACCGGAGACGATTTATGACTTTAGGATAATATACATTTATTTTGGAATACATCATCAAGCATGGACTGTCTTAACGGTGCAGTTTGTTTGAAATAACTTCACAAGCTATATTCTTTCAACTTAGCAATGTGACACGCTATTAAAAATGGATGAAGTTCCCTCATGTTTTGATGTGTCCAAACACAAAGTAAACTGAGTCTGTAGTCACAAAAAGTAAATTTCCTTTAAAACCAAAGTGAGTTGAAATTGCTTTCGGTGTACGATTAGCATGTCAGGTCAAGCTTTGCAATGTCATGAGAGAGATGGAAATGTGTGTGCCACCTCGCTGCATGACATCTGTATCGACAAGCTTTCTTTTTATACTCTCATGTGGCCATTCATCTTCATTTTCCTGCATTTGAGTCGCTAGAGAGGGACTGTTTGTTTCAAGTCTAATTCATTGCTTATGTGTAGGTGTTGGCTGGAATGAATGTGCACCCGGCGGAGTTTGACGGGCTCAAACAGGAGTTCAGCATCAAGGGCTACCCAACCTTCTGCTACTTTGAGTAAGTTTGTCTTACTTCTTGACTCCAATGCACAAACAAAGTCACCATTTGAAGACCGAATAAAATGGACTAAATTGCTAAGCTTTATGGCTGATTGATATAGCTAAAAATTATTTATTTATATTTCTCTGCCTTTTTATGTTACAGTATATATATCTCTTTATGTATTGCAATAGCTTAAAAGGCTTTTTATTGTTATTTCAAGTAAATAGCTAATGTTGGCAAGTAATTTATTTAATGCCACAAAATAGAAAAGAAACTTAATGGCCCCAAAAAAAAATCATCAAAAATAAGTCGTCGCAATATTCACTTAAGATTATGTTGCCAGCAAAATCATTGCATTTTGTAAGTAAACGATATATCGACCAGCCCTTTCTACTTTTCTTAAACTAGTTCTGCTTTATTATAACACTAGTGTTATAGAGTTGCACATTCATGATGCATTAAATCTGAAGAAGACTAGGAAAGGTGGATCAAAATGGTACTTTTTCTACAGTCTCATTAAGAGCCACTGGCTCGGTCTTATTCACAACAAATGTTTTGAAAGGATTTTTGGAGATGCCGGAGCTTTTCCTAGGACCATTCACTTGTCCTCTTTTTCCCCAAAAGCCCAAGTACGTGAGATAAGTGCACATAAGAAAATGCACCATAGTGAACACCAGTTTTGTGGAGTGTTACTTTTAAGTGTATTATTTTAAAAGTAGGTTATTCCTTTTTTAATTTTATGTTGCTAACAAAAATACCGTTAAATAATGGATAAAGAAAAAAGAATGAAAGTCCAAGAATTATAATGAAAGACTTTCATTAAGTTATTCTGTTAATAAAAGATTCAAATACATATAATGTTCATTCTAGTAAATATTTGTCGTTTGAACTTTGAGGACAACGTTTTTGACCGCTGCACAATAGCATTGTGGGTAGAGACGTGATTTGCATTAGTTGAAAAAGTACTTGTTTCTTCCACAAAATAATCTTTGCATATTAAATTCAAAGGGTTCAAATGAATTCATTTCTGAGACATTTTTGGGGCAGCTTTTTATATGTAGCATGCTAGAACTAATAGCCCCAGCAAAAGGCATGATTTATGATCTTAAATGAATCAGAGAATTTTAATGTGTATTCTCTGCATGGTGCAATTTGTCCAGAGCCTTTTGCCTGTAGATTGAGACTTGCGGCAGCAGTTGTATGCATTTAGCTTCTGTTTAGTGCTCCTTCATTACACAGCTGCTTTAATTACTAAAAGGTTAATTAAGCACGGCTCTCTGCCCAAGGCCAGGGCTGCGTTTTCCTAAAGCATCATAAGCTAAGCTGATCATAGAGACCATTGATGGCAATGGTTCCATGACCTACTTAAGCTTACAATGCTTTTGAGAAACGCAGCCCAGATCTTTACACGACTACACCACACCTGACCTCAGCACTGCTCTTTTGAATCAATTAATATTTCGCGAATGTATTAGTGTCTTCTGTAATCACTGATCAAAGAGAGCATAATTATTTAGATATATTTAAAATAAAAATATGTAATTTTATTTTATTTCATCCATCAAGACACTCCCCTAGCTAAAAATTGCTTGTAATTAGATGGCCTGCTGGTTGCAAACAGATTTACATTTAAGTATATGGTCCCTAGAAATTTGAAAGTCACTTGAGGCAAAAATGGGGTTTTTTTCAGACTACAAAATGAAGATTTAGCATGACACTAAAGTGGTAATTCTGTTTGATTGACATGGGTTTTCCACTTTATTATTATATTTCTTTGTTTAGGTTGCCTCAGTGCTTTTGGATTCCAACTGATTAGAGACAGTTACAAATGACATCCCATTGCCAGCATCTCGGCTAAGCTCCCACTTGCTGCAGATTATTTTCAGTCACGGAAAGGGAGCAGATGATGGCAGATAAAACTTGAGTTTCTGATGAAAGAAGCCTTCTTCCGCATGCTGCTGTGTGTTAAAAAGCATTTCTGGATACATTCGTGATCTCGTCTGCTTGTGGTTGTATGGATTAGTAAGAGCACAAAGGCTGCTAGCTGAAGTCTTTGATTATGCTAAGAGCCCTGGGCCAAATGGCTTAATTAGCTTTGAGTCAAACGCTCATTTAAAATGTTTATCTTGGATGGCAAGAAGCGAGCAGCAGTCTTGGATGCCTTGGAAATATCCTAAGCTGTCTAGTGCAATTAATGTTGAGAAAATAAGCACTAATAAATATTGACTTCTCCCATTTAGGATTTCCTTTTTGAAAGAAGGCAAGATTTGAAGTATGTTTTTGTAAAAAAATCAATACTAATAGCTTTAAACGAACCTTCTGTTTACGTTTTACAAACTTTTGGCCATGTTTTTACAGTGAGAGTAGAGAGAGGACAGGAAATAATGGGATTGTGATAGGAACGCAGGCCAGAATCGATCCCATATCTCTTGTACTGTGGCAGAAGCATGTGCACTAATCACTAGGTCATGGCTCCGACCTATTTTACAAAAAAATATAAATTTTCCCTAAAAATGGTGTCTATCTTATATTGGTAAAAATGTTTTATTTGATCATGATGAAATGATTGTGTTGGTTTGGATTTTCTCAGCCAGTTTATGAATAAACCTAAAGAATTATTCTCCCTTTTTTGTTCTTTTTCCAAACAGGAAGGGGAAATTTTTGCATCACTATGAGAATTATGGAGCCACCTCTAAAGACATTGCTGATTGGTTGAAAAAGTGAGTAAACCTAAGCATTATTTTAACATGCAAACATACACAGCCTCTCTTCATTCATTCTTATGCCCTATACTATCTTAAAAGCTGTAAACAATCACTGTGTTTGTAAGAGGTGTGACATCTTGGACTTCTGCCTGTGGTCTCCACCGTTATCCAGGGAGTGTTTTACAGGAACTGTGGTGTGAAAGATATGATGTGCACTGTAAAACACTGGATGTAAACACTCCTCTGTGCCTCCTAACAGAGATGTGATGAGGCTTTAAGATCTCTGCAGTGTTTTAACCTACTATCAAAGTGACAGTGAACAAAATATACAAGTTTACAGTGCCTATGTACACGTCTCAGAGATTAACTTCACTAGAGCTGTGCAAGCAATGCAACATGTAATTTATGAACCGCATGAATCTTCTAGTCATACAGTGGCCCAGTATTTTGCCTAGCAATAAATAAATTCAGTGACATTGCTGATGCTGTATATACTAAGTGTCAGGAAGCAGACTAGATGAAGCAAGCACTGTAGTGTGCTGAGCAATATTTTTGCTTATTGTTAAGTATTGTTAAGTTTAGAATTATGTGCTTTGGCATGACACATTAGTAGTTTGTGAGTAGTATGAGAAACCTTTTTATTGGCATAAAGTCGGATCCGCTTATTCTGGTCAATTTCCCACTTAGACTGGAAGAGATTTTGATCAATAGACCTATGTCACAAGACCAGCCACAGCTTGGTTTGTATTTTCTTGTCAATTAAGGGCAGGTAAATCTGAATTTGAAATTAAACCAGTGTGAAAAACATTCTTTTTTACGAACAAGACTGGGAAAAGACTGGTTGTGCTTGGTCACTTAATTGCTGCTTGCAGTTTTTTAAAATGTTAATGATATTTTACTGTTTTTACTGTATTTTTGATCAAATAAAAGCCTGGGTAAGCATAAAGACTTCTTTCAAAAACAAATCTTGCTGATTCTAAACTTTTAAACGGAGATATTATTCAAAGATTTAGATGTCACTATTAACCAGACCAGCAAATCTAGTTAATAGCGGTTTCTCAAAAATGATCACTGTAGCAGCGGTACATTATTATCACTTTTAGTGGGACTGATAAAAAAAAATTGTCATCCATAACTTCCTAAAGTTGCTAACCAGTTAGTTTGGAACTAGCAATTTCAATCAGCTCTCACCATTTTTGCTCATGAGACGGTCAATGAAGGGACTGTGGGTTGTCTATAGTTTGTGAGACACAGAAAATCATTATTGCTATTCCATAAACTATATGACAGCTGGAGTTCATTGACCAGTACAAGTGAATTGTAAAGAGACTTAAAATTGTGATTTCCTGCTCTCAAAGCACTTGCAGATGTATCCCTGGCTTGTCTTGTAGAATTAATTTTGAATAACGAAAAGTGGAAGTTTGTTAGAATGTGAGAGCATTTACTGATGCACTTTACTGAATGGTTGGGTTTGCCAGTGTTACCTCTGGCTGGTCTTTGTTCAGCTGACGCACTTCTAGTAGATAAGTTCTTGGCTCTATTCACTCTACGAGGAAGTCATTTGGGCTGCTCTTATATGGGCACAGGGCCCGTGAGGAGACAGATGTGAATTGCGGGCTCAGACTAGCTCTCTTAAGTCATGTGGGTGTGACCGTTTCCCACCAGATGTAGAGCTGAAATGAATTGTGAGATGTGTATTGGCAGTGTGTTGGCAGAGCTTAGGTGTATCACATTAGTCATTTGGAGATTTTTGAGTCCTGAATCTGAGTCGTGAAGTTCATAGGCTTTGAGAAGACAAAAACATTTTGACTAATAGAAATGCTTTTAACTGCTTGTGTTATACGTTGCACAGCCCCCAGCCCCCTCAACCTAAAACACCAGAGGTGCCCTGGTCAGAATCCGGCTCGGCGGTCTTCCATCTGACCGATGAGTCTTTTGACACATTCCTGGAGGAGCATCCTTCAGTCCTGATCATGTTCTATGCTCCCTGTGAGTATCAACAACACTGCTCTCACAGGACTTGGGGCTTGAATGACATTGAAATTTAGGGGTAGTTAAAGGGTTAGAAACCCTCACGTCCCTCCAAACCAATATATCTTCCTTTATTCTGTGGAACATAAAAAGGTCCACTGTTCTTTTAGACCCCATTTGCTTTCTTTAAATGGGCAAATACAGTTGAAATATTGCTCAAATTAGCTTTGTTTGAGTTCCACAGAAGAAAGAAAGTCCTACAGGTTTGGAATGACATGTGGGTGAGTAAATAATGATATAATAAAAATTTTTGGGTGAATTCTTTAATTGTTAGAATTATGTTTGCTTGACAAGCAAGTTGTCAAAATCACTATGTTATTATAATGTTTTGGACATGTTATTATGATTACATTATAATTCTCTGCACGCGTACTAAGGCAGAACTACTCTTTAAAGTACATTGGAGTACCATGTAAAAACCATTGTACAGTACATGCATATTTTACGGTATATGGATCATTGAGAATCATGGTATATTGTATATGAATGTGCCATGGTATTATCTTATTACCAGTCATTTTTGTCTAGTGAGGTCTAATTTGAACCCCTGAAGAGGTCAGAGAGAGACAAAAAAAAAACCCTGAGAGCATTTAGTCAATCTCTTTATGCTGGTTGAATTGCACTTGTGTACTGTTGATGTTTTTGTCTATCAATTTTATTCTCAAATTAATCAGCCTGACACAGATTTGCTGATACGAGCATGTCGGTAGTATTTCAATTTCTTGGTAGGTTGCTTTTCTAGAGATTGAAGGAAGATGGCTCTCAGCTTTCATACATTTTTGATCAAACACCTCTGATAGAACATATTCATTTCCTGTAAGGCACAGGGTGTATCCTACCAACCCGCCACTGAGCCTATATGCACATACTTTCTCTCCACATTAATACACTTTCAAGGTACCGAATGACTTGTTTACATTCTCATCAACAAGGTCAAATGCAATATCCTTGTTTACACACAAACTTCGCTTCACATGCACTCAGCTATCATAATGCCAATGACAACTTTGGTTAGACCTCTCAATGCACATTATCAACACTAAGTTTGTCAAGACAAAAAATTATGCTTTACTTGCATCAGATTAACTATAAGACAAAATGCATGCTGACACTCACCCCTTAAGTGTGCAAATTTCATGTGATCTGATTTCAAGTCACCCTTATTAATAATAATAATAATAATAAACAGTTGTACATAGTTCTTCTTGCCAAAAATGCAAACCATATATGAATCAGTGTCCTGATTTGTTCATATTCCTATAGTGTAAATAAATACATATTAAATCCAGGCTTGTTCTGGCTTATGTTTACTGGAAAGGCTTTTATGATTATGTAACAGTTGGAGAATTGGAAAGGGATCTCTTTAAATACTTGAAAGGGAAGTATAATTTCTTTCCAGATGAGTGCTGTTTCTGGTCAATTTATGACTGACATGTTGTATTGAGTTGTTGTTGTTTTTGTGCTATATCAATTATGCATGACAACCCTTTTGGGGAAAAAAAAAAAGCTTAAACTGGCCTAAGATGGTTTTCTGGTTTATGCTGGTTCGGCTAGTCTAGCTGACCTCTCAACCTGGCCAAATTAGTGTTTAGCTGTTCAAGTACCCAAAACCTAATTTATAGCAGGGTTTTCCATATATTTTGATGTTTATATACTACCATTCAAAGTTTGGGTTCGGTAAGATTAAAAAAAATATATATATATATATTATAATATATAATATCATTTTATTTTGTTCACCAAGGCTGCATGTATTTAATAAAAAATACAGTAAAAACTGAAATATTGTGAAATATTATTACCATTTCAAATAACTGTTTTGTATTTGAATATAATATAAAACATAATTTATTCCTGTGATGGCAAAGCTGAATTTTCATCAGCCATTACTATTATTATTAATATGCTGATTTGGTACACAAGAACCTCAAGATATCACACTTATTCTCATAAATCAGTAGTAATATTATCAAATCTGGTGAAAGCACTACTGTAAAAAATACATTTTTTTATTTAAAAAAAATGCACCTTTTCCTCTTTTTTTATAATTTAAATGAATATTTAAAAAATAATTGTAAAATATTTAAATTATTATTATGATGGATTTTTTTTTTTTTTTTTTCAGATTTATGATCTTAAAATTAATCCCATTCTAATTTTCTTCCTTGTGATGGTTTTTAGGGTGTGGCCACTGTAAGAATATGAAGCCAGAGTTTGATGAAGCTGCTGAGATCCTCAACAAAGACCCAGATGTGAGTTCCTTCACTCTAATTCTCTGACATATAGGGAATGGATAATGTTCATATATTTGCTTGTTGTAAAATTCAAACTGACTTTGCAAAAGACAACATGGAGGCAGGAGAACAACTGTGTACTTAATGAAATGGTTCTAGGTGTGTAATTGTCACTTTGAGGCATTCCTTGTAAAAAGTCTGTGTCCATTTGACTTGATTAAAATAAGCCAACTGTAATTTTCCAGCATCTTAGACAATTTGTTAACAGCCTGCGGTAAATCCAAAAATGTTTTTCTCTTTCAACCTTTGATTCAACATTTCCATGCTTGCATGACATGGTAATTTTTAAGCTTTAAATTTACAACATGAGACATATACAGTTCACAAATATCTCTGGCCATGTTGTGTGAGTGATGTGTTTCTCATTTTCCGGGTGTGTCCGTAGCGCTGGCTCTGTTCTCTAGTCCTTAGTTGCAGGCCAATTGCAGTCACCAGAGCCTTATAGTTGAGTATTTATCTCATTTTCCTTTTCCTCTGTGCTGTCCCTCTAGCCTTCAGCTTGGAGCTACTCGGAGTGATGCTCTTCCCAGAGTTCAATAATGACATGTTATGCATTATCTAATGCATGCTCTAGTCCTCACATCTTCTCCCCCGAGAAAGATGAAGTCATTTATTTTTCTCATTCCCTGTGCTCATGGCCCTACACACAGTTTAAAGAGAGAGTCCACATGTCGAGATTTTTTTTACGCATTTTCAATTTGCATCTCTCTGAGACGTTGGAATAAGGATGTTTAAATGTGCATATATGAATGTAAGACGGGGGTTACGAATGTGACATTTTGTAAGTGGATGGTGGAGAAATTCAAGCGGCCGTGCTTATCTCACAAGTGTGTTGTTGAAATGCAGTGCCATTAATTTAATGAGATGTGTTTGTGTATTTGTCGTCAAGTGGTTTGGTTTGCATACGCTTCTAATTGGCTCACAGCTCCGATAGCTGTCCAAAGATTTTTTTTGGCCCCTGTGGGGTTGGTACCTAAACTTGAACACAAATCCTTTGTTTGTGATAATGACCAAGACTCTCATCATTAATATAAGGTATCCCACTGACAGATGTGTGCGAATAGAGGGAGTTAATTGAGTTTAAGCTGAGGAAACATTCATAATGACAGTCCATTTTGCAGCTATATCATGGTGGAAACAAAGCTGTGCCAAATTGTGCTGTCATATCATCAAAATGAAGCACTTTACCCACTGAATGGTTGGGTTTGCCAGTGTTTATCCCTGGCAAAGTTGCCTCTGGCTGGTCTTTGTTCAGCTGACGCACTTCTAGTAGATAAGTTCTTGGCTCTATTCACTCTACGAGGAAGTCACTCTACAACTTTAACAACAAATTGGTTGCGTTTAAACTGGGGATGTCATAAATCAGTCAAAGTAATAGACCTTTGTGTAAATATAATTTTCTGCAATTTGTGTGGATGACACTTTAGTGTTTTTATAGCAACAGCGCTCTGTCTCACTCGACATAAAGATATATTTCTCAAACTATTGAAATGTGCTAGAAATGCAATGCAAATGTTTTTTTGTTTTTGTTTTAATAAATCACATGAATGAACAGGTTAACTTTAACATTTCCTAATTTAAACAGTTAGATATAAAGATAGACATATTCTGTCTTTAGATGTAAAAAAAAAAATCTAAGGTTAGAACATGAATTTGAGGGAACTGATTCCTATATCCTCAGTCTCCTCTCCTGAGCTTCAGAAATCATTGAATAAATATTCATCTCATCTACTCCACCTACAGGAGGTCCCTTCAAACACAGAACACTATCAGTATTAAAATGGCAACTTGCTCTGTTCTTAAATTGCCTCATGATTTTAATTAAGTTGTCTAAGGTTAGAACATGAATTTGAGGGAACTGATTCCTATATCCTCAGTCTCCTCTCCTGAGCTTCAGAAATCATTGAATAAATATTCATCTCATCTACTCCACCTACAGGAGGTCCCTTCAAACACAGAACATTATCAGTATTAAAATGGCAACTTGCTCTGTTCTTAAATTGCCTCATGATTTTAATTAAGTTGTGCTTAGACATTTGAAACTTAATGAGTTCCATAATTGCTGGAAAGATTTTAGAGAGTGATTTGGGTTAAACATTTGCATCTAAAATGTGCTTGGCACCACAATCACATTGATCTTTTTGAAAAAAATAAAATAAAAAGCAGTTTGCACAGAGTTTAACAAATGGACTAACAATGTCCAACATTTAGAATGTATTTGCACATGTGAATTTGACCAATCAACTGTCAGACAACATATAGTATGGTGTGTTTTTAAGTTGAACGTAAACAGTGCTTTTCTATCTTTGTATATTCATATGGTTTCAGAGCCCAGGTGTGTTGGCAGCAGTGGATGCCACCATTCACAAGTCCATCGGTGAGCGGTTTAAAATCTCAGGCTTCCCAACAGTGAAGTACTTTGACAAGGGGGAAGAGAAGTACACACTTCCTCAACTCCGGAGCAAAGACAAAATCATCGAGTGGCTGCAGAAGTGAGTTGACTCCGTCTTTTCCACTGACCATCAGCATGAGAAATTAAATTAAACGATATCTATATTAATTCAGTAAGTTGTTGCAACAAGAGATATACTGTATAGTATTTTTATTTATCTTTTTATTATTTTAGTATTATTATTGCATTTAAATTAAGGTTAGGCCAGTTAACTATTTGGCATAAGATGTATTTGCACATGTGAATTTGACCAATCAACTGTCAGACAACATACAGTATGGTGTGTTTTTAAGTTGAAAGTAAACAGTGCTTTTCTATCTTTGTATATTCATATGGTTTCAGAGCCCAGGTGTGTTGGCAGCAGTGGATGCCACCATTCACAAGTCCATCGGTGAGCGGTTTAAAATCTCAGGCTTCCCAACAGTGAAGTACTTTGACATGGGGGAAGAGAAGTACACACTTCCTCAACTCCGGAGCAAAGACAAAATCATCGAGTGGCTGCAGAAGTGAGTTGACTCCGTCTTTTCCACTGACCATCAGCATGAGAAATTAAATTAAACTATATCTATATTAATTCAGTAAGTTGTTGCAACAAGAGATATACTGTTATTAGTATTTTTATTTATCTTTTTATTATTTTAGTATTATTATTGCATTTAAATTAAGGTTAGGCCAGTTAACTATTTGGCATAAGAATAGTTTGATCAATTTAATAATAATAATAATAATTCTCTCCATATACAAAATGGGGGGGCGGGGGGGATCCTTGAAAGGCCTGTTTCTGCAATGCATCTCTGCAGAGGCGTTAATGTACAAAACAGATAAAACACAATGGCTGTTTTTGACTGGATGTAGTTGTTTATGTAGGTGTATGGAGGTCTGCACGGGTAAATGCTTGTTTCTGCTTTTATTTATTTATTCACACTTTGTAATATTTATTTCTGATGGAGGTGGATTTAGTGCTCAGCTAAGGTCAGGTACAAGTGAGTCAGAAATTGCTTTTTGTTGTGCTACTCTTACCCTCTGCAATCTCTTAACTCTATAAATAGTCAGGAAGGTATAAATACTAAAAATGTATCCGAGCACCAACTTTGTGGTTTTGTTTTTATATGTTAAAGTGGTTACTGAATGTCACCTAGTTAGAACAAGTGTTAGATTTCTGAAAAAAAAAAAAAAAAATAGATTGTGCAGATTTGTTTGAAAGGGCCACATACATTTGACCTGGAGATATTTTTCACGCGTTACCGAACTTCACTCTCGAAAACACACACTGACTAAAGAGTGACCTGCATGAGGGCTGGGAGCCTGAGAATTTACTTTTACTCTGCTGTCTCCCGACTCTTTGGGATGTGCTCAACAGAGCTTGACTACGATCAATCACTGCTAAACTGACCTCTCAGTGGAAGAGCTTGCCCCTGCTTTGATCCTGGAGCAGTCCTTCTGTGCGGGCATCAGCTATGAGTTTAAGTGCATGACGGTGCCATCTCACAGGTCCCAGAACAGCAGGGCCAAGCCTGTTTTCAGACTCATGCCAAATACTGCAGACTAGTAGTTATGCACTATGATAATACCATGGGACATGGGAAGTCAGGAGAGCCCAAGTTAGGGATTTGTTTAGTCCTGATGTGCTTTTCATGCTTTCATTTCATGTTTGAAATTGTTTATTGCATGATATCCATACAAAGTGGCCCCAAAAAGTATTTTCAACCATATATTTACACTGTTGTTCAAAAGTTTGGGGTCAGTATGATTTGTTAAATTTTTTTGAAAGAAAAATCACCAAGGCTTATTAAAATTATTTTATATAATTAAATGAAATTCTTCAAATGTCTAAATACTTTTGCAGCCATTCAGTTTCGCTGAACTCATGGGTGTAAGTCTAATTACGTCTGCATTTTATTCAGTGTATTAAACTGATTCTGAACATTTGCATCGTTATTACGTAGTGACCTGACTTTACTGTGAGTGTTACAGATTCAGAGATCTCAGCCTAACAGCTTACCTATTTAATCACAGGCGCTTTCTCTCTCTGTTTCTCTCAGTCCCCAGGCCCCACCTCCTCCAGAGAAGTCGTGGGATGAGATGCAATCCAGCGTGAGCCACCTGGGAGCCGAAGATTTCAGGGAATTTCTGAAAAAGAAGAAACACGCCTTGGTCATGTTCTATGCTCCATGTAAGCCTTCTGTTTTTTTTTTTGTTTTGTTTTTTTTCTTCAAAAATACTGCAGCTGTAGTTTCGGTCTCAAAGCACATTTCCAGGCTTCTCCTAAACCTTTAAGCTTTATAGGGAAATTAATCAGAATTTTGTTGCATCCTCCTAAAGAATCATGTGTGATGGCAATTATATAGAGCACTGAAATGTGCAGGTGGCGTAAACTGCACCATAGCTTCCTGCACATAGTTATTGCATTATTTAAAATATTTACAATAGGTCATAACCGTTAAATATGATGTTTGCATCTCTGTATTTTTCTGAAATGGTAAAAGCCATTTTAAATATTTAGGCTTGAGGGAAGATATACTGTGTGTGTGTGTGTGTGTGTGTGTGTGTATATATATATATATATATATATATATCTGTAAAAACTTTTGTTTTTTAAGTGCATATGACAAGACTGAAGCTAGTTTCACTTGTATTTTTTTATATTGTACATCTGCAACAAAAAGCCCCAGATAGTAGCCAACTTGTGTGGACACTCTTCCAATTTGCGCAGATGCTACACTACATTTCAAACTGTTATGAAATCTGGCCAACCAGTCGTCAGGTCTGTGCATTTTCACTAGCAAGTGAGCAGCGATGAGCAACAGCCAACGGAATTACAAGAGGAGGGCTAGACAGTGGGAAGCAGGAGCCAAAAACAAAACATCAAACTGCTGCCCACATCTCCCCTAACACTGTCTCATCTTATTGGTATTCGGCTCATTTTTTTCTTTTTCTCCCTTCATGTTGTTTGTTGACATGTTGTCAAGAATTGTAGTGTTGCTATGTGCCTGAGTTTGTGTGTAAAGTAAACAAAACTCAGGATCATAGCATTAGACTGGGAGACTGATCTTGTAATTTGATGCACGTTCTCTGTTGTTTGTCGAGTAAAGTTTGCACCAGCACGAAATAAAATGAGAAACTGTGTGCAGGTCATTCTGTTTTGTAGTGTACTTGGCCCTAATTCCAGTACTTGTTAAAATATATCCAGATGCATTGCTATAATGAAAATTGATGGGGAATTTTCTGTGTGCTATTTATTTTAATATATATCAGCCATGAATGATGTAATTATGTTATCCATTTAATTATGTATTTGTTTGATTTTGGGGTATACAAAATTATCTGGTTATGTTTTCCCCCTGTAAATAAGCTGACTTGACTCTTTTGTGCTAAAATCAGTCATTGGACTGTTTTCAGTCTGTGCAGCACCACTGTTGGTTGTGCGCACATTTGAGAACATAATTTCATATTAATATGCCCTTTTTTGTATTTGTATTCTTCTTGCATATGATGAAAAATGATTATGTGCTATTTTAAGTACAGCTTTTGCCCACGCTTTGACTTCTTGATTAGCGTATCTAGCTGGGCACTGAGACAGACTCGCATCGACCTTGCATGGGTTTGGAGGCCTGCCCAGCCTTTCTTTTCCTCATATAATGGCAACATGTGCCAAAAGGGAAGGCACACAACTTTATGCTCCATTATTTATAATGACCCTCGTGCGTCTTAAATTAGACCCCTTGTTCCTCACACAAACAGGCCTTTGTTTGCTGCCCTGCAAATTATGACCGTGCCATTAACTGCCATTTAAAAGTCACCAGTTTCCAAAGGGAACTCACTTACTTGAATAACTTTCATTAAAAACGTAAAGTAGCACAAATGTGTGCAAACAAGATTGCGTGACAACCTAAACTAGCAAAGTAAATGAGATGGTTGTGCCATGGCTGTGTAGCCGTGCCATTTGGCAAATCTTTAGCTTTAGGCAGCTGTTTATTCAATGGAAGTCATTGACGCCAAATGTCATGCATAATTTATAAGAATAACACCCTTAGCATCAAAACCACCTCATAAGAACATGATAGAAATTAAAGTTTAGGAGTTATGACTAAGGAGGGTAGAAACTCTTGCCTGTTCTTTAGTAAGTTTGATGGACACATATTGCCTCAGGAAAGCTCCCGCTGGGCCGTCTATGAGAATAATAAAGTTACTTTTGACGAGCTATAAAGTTGAATTGTGTCAGTTTAACCTGCTATATGCAGGCAGTGATGGATTATGTGCATATTTGTTTGTCTTAAGTTATTGTCTTGAAAGTAATGTCTTTTTTTGTAAATAATTCGATCATTGTGTTCTTTTCTTTTGCTTTAGTATTCATCTCTTTGTCTGTTTGTGAATGCTGGGATATATCAACTCTTGCTGTTTGTTCTCAGCATTATAAGGTGAGACAGCTCGATGAATACTTATATCTTACTGTTTTCCCCAGGGTGTCCGCACTGCAAGAATGCCGTCCCTCATATCACCACAGCAGCTGAGCTGTTCAAAGAGGACCGCAAGGTGAGGCTCAACACCATTAAGGAGTTTTCCAGCCACTCTAAATAACAAACCCTTTCAAATGAGTTCCAGGTTCTGTCAAGCTTGTAAAGAATTCGATCATTGTGTTCTTTTCTTTTGCTTTAGTATTCATCTCTTTGTCTGTTTGTGAATGCTGGGATATATCAACTCTTGCTGTTTGTTCTCAGCATTATAAGGTGAGACAGCTCGATGAATACTTATATCTTACTGTTTTCCCCAGGGTGTCCGCACTGCAAGAATGCCGTCCCTCATATCACCACAGCAGCTGAGCTGTTCAAAGAGGACCGCAAGGTGAGGCTCAACACCATTAAGGAGTTTTCCAGCCACTCTAAATAACAAACCCTTTCAAATGAGTTCCAGGTTCTGTCAAGCGCAATCAAGTTCTCCCTCTCTCATTCAGACAGCCTTCACACATCCTAGAATTTAATCTCCAGAACGTTCTCAAGGTCTTCAATGTCACAGTCACTGTGCTGTCTGATGCTGTTCACCTTCAGTCTACTACTTCACATGTTATCTGTGTTGTACTTCTCTGTTGATTTCTATATTATAGTGTGAGGCAGACTATGCTGCCTTAGCCATGTTTTGTCAGTTTAAGTCAAACACTCATTACAAGACCTCTTCGTCCTTTTAAAGACTTCTTTAGTATTCAGTCTTAGTATATTAGTTATTTATTATATGGCTGCATTAAACTGGCACAAAAAAAGCTGTTTTTTTTTTTGCTCACATCTGACACGGATCGTAATTTTTTGCACCTGTGTAAACACAAAAATCAGCATGAGATCCGATTTTTTTCGCATCCGATCTGAGCCACTTCCAAATGTGGTTATAAATCAGATACATATCTGATATCTGGACATCCAGCCTACATCTAAACACACACATCCTATTCCCCACAGAACTCCCAATGATAGGGCGACACGTTTGCCAATAAAGATTGTGTTTTAATGCCGGTGTGCTGTATGCGCTCGCATTTTATTGAGATGGAAACATTATATTGGTAAGAAATTGTACGTTCAGGAGCTGGTTTTCAACCTCTGCCCCATGAAATTTATAAATACAACAGCTAAAAGCTACTTTATATTTCTCAGTAATGAGGTGATAACCGTTTTTGTAATTAAACCAACAAGCTTCACACTCACTCGCGCGTTCTCTCTCTCTCGTTCATTTGAATTAATTTCAATAAATATCATCTTGACCCTACTTTATTTCACTAAAGAATTCTACCTCTAACGAACTGTAGATAAAATAGCCTAATGAATGAAAATTAACGTTATTTTCTGTTATTTATCCATTCAGTCAGATTTTGTGCTGCAAAACATCCATGACAGCCTTTGTCTATGCTGGCAAATAATAATGGCCACTCGACATGAATTATATAAATATTTTTAATAGCACGGCCATTCAAAACCCGAGGGTATACCATGTGCATAGTAAAGTGATAACTGCAGACAATCCTTTAGGGTGGGAATTCATTTAAACAGTCATGTCTAAAGTGAATGTAAACAGACGGGCCAAAAAATCGGATATGGTCAAAAGATTGGATCTGTGCATTAAGACTTGCAGTGTAAATGCAGCCTATGTAGTTATGTAAGTAGTTAATGCAATAGATATCATGAAATAAATGTTAACCAATCAACCATGTTTTTTTTTTTTAACAAAAAGAGAATTTTGAAAACATTTCTTAATAACTCTATTCCATACAACATGAGATCGTCAAGGGCGGGACAAATCATTATGCAGCTCTCAGATATGTCTCATGACGTCAGTTATTCTGTCTATTACCTTCCCGGCCAATTTGCAGACGGGTTGTGAACATGATAATCACATTCATCAACCAATCATAGTGAAGTGGAGGCACTTCCTCCTTTTACATGATATTTCGGCTGTATTCCCCTCTTAAATGCACAGCACGCTTAGAGTTGGCTATGATCTGTGGCATTTTGTTGCAGACTAGGTGAAGACTTAACACATGAAGAGCCGACAAGCTTAAGTCTTGGAAGTGTGCTTGGCTTAAATTTTAAATTCACACATTGCTTTCACTTTGACGAGTGCCGATGTTTCCACTTTTTTCCACTTCAGACACATCTCTCTGAGTAACACTCCATCGCAGGCGTCTACACACTGACATTTCATCGTTCTCTAAATCTTTCCTCTTTCTCCTGAAACTTCTTTGAAAGTAGCTGTCTCTATATTTGGATCTTCAGAGGCCTGTAAAAACATTCCCTTTGGCTTCTTTAACAGCAGACATTTATCACTGGCCATAAGACAGTGATGTTGAATTGTTATTTGCAAATGTCTATAATTCATCAGGCATAACGTCAGTCCTCTTCAATTTCCCTATTGCTCTTAAGTTTAGACTTGCGCATAATCATTATTCAGATGAACGGCATTTGGAAATTCACTTTGCCAAGATTCAAATGGAGCCAGTTTTGTTTTCTTATATTTTGTGCTAACACCCTTAAAGATATTATTAAAACAGATACTGCTTGTTTGAAGACTAAAAGCTCTGTTCATGAAGCTATTTTTTCCACATGTGTAAATCTCTGCTCCTGTCTGTCAGTCACTGCATCTCTCGGTAGAGCTGAATATATATATTCAATATTTTCCAGCAAATGTATAGCTATGAATTAGTTCCAGATCTGGCGACTGCATTACAGTTGCATATCACTTTGCTCAAATGATTCCAGCTACTTCAAAAGTCCTACAACAGCAAATGAGCCAAAACCCACAAAGACAATGACCAAGAAAACAATTATGACAAACAGTAGGATAAAAATAACAAAGGTTTTCCATGTTTTTTCCCCCAGTAAATTACCTTTTTTTTATCTATGGAAAGCACACTTTTTTTCTCCTCTCTCTCTTTCTCTCTGCACGCACACACTTACTTGCTCGGTTTCCATCCAAATTTAAGAGTTTAACTTGTGCGCAACATTGGAATATTGCATAAAACATAAAAATTTCCACACCATTTCCATCCAACAAGTCAAAGAGAACAAATTTGTCCCTTCCTGATAAACTGGCGCTAAATATCAGTAAGAAAAGTAGGCAAAGTCACTGAATATAATAATTTTCATATATAATAAATTACTTGCGGCTCAGAGCGAGCAGACGAAACAATAAATGTGATCATTGCTTTCGGAGGTGGCTGCCTGCTGTGTGGGATCGCAGTCATCTGGGAGGCAATTATACAGAAATACTTTGATGACAGACTTTGCTCAGGCATTTCAGAATGACCATAACAAAATTTGAAATGCTGTGCAACGACATGGTTAGTCAAGTTATCCAGTCCCAATGCACAAAGTCACATGACTTTTCATGCGCATGGAAGTCTATTCAATAACTGTTTTTCCACCTCCCATTATTCGCATGAACTCCTTTTCACACAAGACAAAATCCACCTAATTTGAGCATTAAAACGTTTTTGCGAATTAAGGGACTTTTTTCCCCAAAATTTGTTTTTTTCCATCACTCGTTTTTGATGCAATGCTTCAAAATGCGCATAAAAACAGGGTGATGGAAACATAGCTGTACAAACACACACTCACACACAGACAGAAATATACATGCACAGATATTTGTTGTCAGCGGTGCCCAGCAATCGACTTTTTCAATAAAATAGTTTGCAACTGAAAAGATAAATAACACTAGAAGTGAGGTGATAATGTCACTGTTTTTAGAGCATTTTAACTTAGAATTTATCTATTAGAATTTCGCTGCTTCTGAACACTGTTGAGAGCCGCACAGACTCAGGCATTTCACACAAGCTTTAATATCTCTCTCTCTCTCTCTCTCTCTCTCTCATAACTGCATATCAGTGACTTGTGTTGCTAGCTCTAAAATGACTTGGCAACATAGACTTGAGATGAGATGATTAAGAAATTAGTTTTACACACAAGCGTTTAAAGCTGAACAATGTCTTGGGGTGTGGTAACCGTGGTATAAGCGAAATTGATTGACAATGGGCCGTTCAATTATTGAAAAATAATGCATGGCTGCATTACTACCTCGGGGTGTGCATTATTTTTCAATAATTCAATGGCCCATTGTCAATTATTCCTTCGTTAATTTCCTGATTTTGAAACTGCTCACTCATTCACTATAATACTATACTTCACTATATAGAGAAAGGCTGAAGGAAAATTTACATATTTTACATATGTTACATATGATATCAAGGACTTCCAAGAACACTTCCAGTCTCACCTCTCATACTGAAATGCATTTTCACATTTTTTTATTTATGATTTACTTATGAACTTTTTATGATATACAAGTGCATCTCAATAAATTAGAATGTCGTGGAAAAGTTGATTTATTTCAGTAATTCAACTCAAATTGTGAAACTCGTGTATTAAATAAATTCAATGCACACAGACTGAAGTAGTTTAAGTCTTTGGTTCTTTTAATTGTGATGATTTTGGCTCACATTTAACAAAAACCCACCAATTCACCATCTCAACAAATTAGAATACTTCATAAGACCAATAAAAAAATTTTTTAGTGAATTGTTGGCCTTCTGGAAAGTATGTTCATTTACTGTACATGTACTCAATACTTGGTAGGGGCTCCTTTTGCTTTAATTACTGCCTCAATTCGGCGTGACATGGAGGTGATCAGTTTGTGGCACTGCTGAGGTGGTATGGAAGCCCAGGTTTCTTTGACAGTGGCCTTCAGCTCATCTGCATTTTTTGGTCTCTTGTTTCTCATTTTCCTCTTGACAATCCCCCATAGATTCTCTGTGGGGTTCAGGTCTGGTGAATTTGCTGGCCAGTCAAGCACACCAACACCATGGTCATTTAACCAACTTTTGGTGCTTTTGGCAGTGTGGCAGGTGCCAAATCCTGCTGGTAAATGAAATCAGCATCTTCAAAAAGCTGGTCAGCAGAAGGAAGCATGAAGTGCTCCAAAATGTCTTGGTAAACGGGTGCAGTGACGTTGGGTTTCAAAAAACACAATGGACCAACACCAGCAGATGACATTGC